TGAATATCAGGTGAGGAAAGGATCAGGTTCAGATATAAGCGCCCCTCACGTCAAACAGCCCACCAACAGCCTTAAACTTAAAGAATATTACTTGATTGAGGTATTACTGCCTATGGAATTGTACCTCAGGATGGTCATCTCTTTCTAGAGAGGCAAGGAAAGGGGAACAAACAAGAGGGTAAATAAGAGAGGAAATAAACATATACCAGGATAACTGGGATCTGCAAGGATTATTTCCTTAATTTTGCGTAACCTTGTATTGAATTATAAATTCCACTAGAGGGCTCTCTATTCCCTTTAAAAGTTAAATGCCGTCAATTACCCTTCATCTTTTAGAATCCAGTTTTCCTTTGCCACATTGCAATAATAATCCTTCTATTTGATTATTATTAATCAATAACACTTCATCTTGCCATAATGTCTTACAGATTTTCAGTAATATGTAATAACTGATATGTAGTACTCCAGGGATCCATCCTTGACCCCCTCCCCTTTCTGATCTACATGTTCCCTCTTCCACATGTATGCGGACGACACCCAACTCTATTTTTCCACCTCTCATTGCGACCCCCAGTCCCCTGATGTACTGTCAGGCTGCCTGTCAGATCTCAGGGGCTGGATGAGCACAAATTTCATTCAGCTGAACGTTGACAAGACAGAAGCTATACTCTTTGGCTCTCGTCAACGTCTAAAATCTTACGGTTCTCACCTCCTCCACCTGCCCGACTTCCCCCTAAAACTCTCTGAACCCATACGCAACCTAGGTATCAGGTTCGACCCCCAACTATCCTTCCTCCTCCACATCCGGTCCCTCACCAGCACCACTTTCTTCCACCTCCGACGCATCGCCCGTCTCGGCCAACACCTCTCTCCGAAAGCCGCTGAGACCCTAGTCCATGCCTTTGTCACCTCTTGGCTGGACTATTCAAACGCCCTCCTCCCCGGTCTCCCATCCACTACCATCCATAAAATCCAGATTATAAAAAACTCTGCCGCCCGCATTGTCACCCGCACGAAACTCTGCTCTCCGATTACCCCAGTCCTTGCCAGACTGCACTGGCAGCCTATCCCAGAGAGGATCGATTTCAAGATCCTCACCCTTGTCTTCAAATCCCTCCACTCCTCTGCACCCCCCGACCTCTCTGACCTCCTCTTGCCTCAAAACAGTGCCCGTTGCCTTTGCTCCTCCAGGTCTGGCCTCCTCCTCGTCCCCCGAGTCCTCTGCTCCACCCTCGGCGGCCGTGCCTTCAGCCACTACGCCCCGAGGCTCTGGAACTCCCAACTCCCTTCCTCACTCCCTTAGCCTCGCTCCCTCTCTTCCTATTTTCAGATCTCGGCTGAAGACCTGTCTTTTTGACCGCACCTTTGGTCACCTTCCTCGCCCTCCCCCCTGGCTCAGCCCCGGGATCCGTTACTGTGAAGCGCCCTGAGACGCCGTCCAGCGTGGAAGGCGCTATATAAATCCAAGTTGTTGTTGTTTTTGTTGTAACTCTCTATTTTTAAGCAGCAAACAATGGCAGTCAATTTGCACATGGAGTGAATGACATTTTTTAAAAACAATCTGGGTATTGTTTGCCAGGACACCAAGAGAAACTAGCTTCTCTTTTGGGATAATGTTACAGGATCTTTAATGTCCATCTGAACAGGCTGATAGAACCTTATATAATATAATAATAATTCTTGCATTTGATATCATGCCTTATCATGTCTTCGAGACGTCTCGAAGCGCTTCACAGAATTTACTGTCAAGTAAATTGACTGTATTTTGTGGATGAAACGTGGCAGCCAATTACGCACAGCAGTGTCCTACAAACAGTCGTGGATTGAAGTGAACAATTTTTTAAAGGAATTATTACCTCTGGAAAAGCGATCCGCTGATTGACTAACAACCGCATTCCTACTTACTGTTAAGTAAACAGAAACATGTGGAGTAAGGAGACTTGTCCAACATTTCGCACTGCCAGGAATCGAACCCAGGTCTCTTACTTGTGAGGCAAGTGCTCTAACCACTTCGCTGCAGGACTCCACCTTGGTTCAAAGCCGAAAGCCAGCACCTCTGTTGATTCAGCGCTCCCCCAGCACTAAATTGGAGCATCAAGCTCGCTAATGAGCTCAACATCCCTCTTGTAATGTTGTGGCACGATGCTTGAACCCATACCCTTCTGACTCAGAAGTGAAAGTGTTACCAACTGAGCCAGGCTGACACCTAATCTGACCACCCAACACTTCCACTGCAAAGGCGACAGAGCCATCCTGCCTTAGATCATGTTCTATCTACATGCAGAGAACCCAGATGATACTCTAATTCAAGTGACTCATTTCATGTTCTCTGCAAGCCCTCCACTTTTTGGTTTGGTTTTAAGCATTTCTCTGTCTAATGTAATGCTGCAGTCATCGTTCAGTTTTTATTTGACATTTTGGAAATATTTGGCTAAACTTTTGAATTGTTCGACAGTGCTTCAGTACTGCTTTGATTTTCTCTCCCTCAACCCCTTCACCTCACCCCCTCCTTCCCCATCTTCAGGTCGCGCCTGAAGACCTTCCTCTTTGACCGCGCCTACGGTCACCTTCCCCCTCCCCGGCTCGGCCTTGGACTCCCCATTGTTAAGCGCTCTGAAATGCCGACTGATGTGGAGGGCGCAATATAAATGCAAGTTGTTGATTTTGTTTTGATATGTTTTCTCTTTTAATGAAGATCATTTGCAAAGTTTACAAATCTTGGTGAATCATGACACAAACACAGTTGCATGACACTTACACGTACACTAATTTTATATATCTGGACAAATCATGGTTCATGCAAGGTTAGATAGCACTTACAGATTCAGAAAAACAGATAAATAAATAGTCGTGGGAGTACTATATATAGGTTGGTTTTATTTACTACAGTGTTAAAGCCATATATACTGGAAAGTGTGATTCAACCTGAACACCACCTAAATGGTCATTAGCATCAAGGCTGTCATTTCTGATTGGTGTTATACAAAACATTAATGAGCACTGAAAAGAATGTCTGACATTAAAATGCCTGTTTATGGATGGGCAGCCCTTTCTGCCCATCGAAGTAAGCCAGGGTCATTTCATGCTTGAAACTACAATTGTTGCCAGCAGACTGTGAACAGAATGTGTGGTCCAGTTTCAAAGCACAGACTGGAAACACTGTTTTGTTGAAAACAAGTTTGAAACATCCCCCTTCCCCTCTTCCGCTCCAGATATCATTTGGCCTAGACAGAGACCTGCTTCAGTGAAGATATACGAGAACGTATTTTCACCAAATATATTAAAGAATATCAGTGGAAGGGGAGAGTAAAGAGCAACTTTAAGTTTACTTATTATTATTATTACTGAGTACTTTGGCAATATCCAGCTTTACTCTATGAACAGTTTTGTTGGTGTATATTGATCTATTCCCAGTGAGCTCTCCCTTTTCTCATCTTCTGGAGATAATAACTAACGTACAAATTTACAGATTCCAAACATTCTCCAAGTATCTGTTCTTCATTTGTGCGCTGAGCAAGTTGTTCATCTACTGGCATTATCACAGCCAAGCACCAGCCCGTCCTCACACAATATCTACACCCAGGCGCCAGTGATTTGGAAGGGAAGCTTGGCCGATGAGCCTATAAAAACAAACACTAATTTCTTGTACAGCATTTTTGAGACATTTCAAACATGATAAGACACTTCTTTCATTACTGTCCATTTGTGTAGTGGTTAATACACGGCACAATATTTGTCCATTTACGACTGTCTTACTCATTAGGGATTTGGTTGGCAGGATTCAGAACATGTCTATATCTCCAAGTCTTACCGATGAGCCAAACGGGCATTTCGCCAAAGCTAAAATCAAGGGGAAAAATTGAATTGCGGCGTGAAATCGATGAGATTGTAGCTACAAAGTAGTTCACGTATAAGATCTCGAAGGATCAGACCTGAGGCAACGAGACACCCAGTGGAAGTGAGTACCACTTACAGTATTTTAGTCTAAATTTAAAAACATAACCTACTTGAAAGCCACAAACCAATACTTTTAGGCACAACTTGCATTGAGATGTAGCGCCCTTCAAACAGAATGAATGAGGTCTCTGAGCGCTTGCGATGAAACGTGTTTGCGACGTGTTGTCACACAGTCTGATCAAACAAAATCCGACGGCTAACATTGCCCCGACACGTCTAAGGCAATTAAACGCTCCGAGACGCTGCCCCGCATGAAGGGCGCGATCGCTAGAAATGTAAGTGGTTGTCGTAATAATAACAATAATCCTTTGCTTTTTACACACAGCGCGGCTTATCACGTCGCGGAAACAGGTCGACGGCGTTTCACGGGATACGCTGTGGAGCATAGAACTGGAGGGTCTTCTCGCCTTCGAGACGCATCTCAAGACCCTCCTCTTTGATCGTTGCCTTCGATCACCTCCCACCCCCCCCGACCCCACCCTCCCCGACCCCGACCCCCACCCCGACCCCCAGCTCGGGTCCAAAACCCCGAGCGTCCGGCGCCGCGGGACGTCCTCCCGACGTGAAGGTAATGTTGCTGTTGTTGCTGTAGTGACCGTCCCCGTCCGCCAGACACGAAAATAGTTCTGTAGCCCAAACAGTAGCCCAAAAGCAGCCCAGGGTCACGCGGGGCCTCACTCCGAACACCAGGGCGACCGCCTGAGCTCATTGCCTTAGAAACTGCGGAGGTGATGGGGCAGAAACAAAAACCCACACCGGTTGCTGCGGGGTTTCAATTTTTAATAAAAAAAAACACCGCCCGAAGAAAATCCGCCCCCAAAGAAGTTTTTCACGCACACTGCGGGTAAAAACCCGCCCGATTGGGCGTCAACCCGCCCAATGCGGCCACATTGCTGCCCCGACAACGGTCACCTGCTGAACACACCGACAGCCGCTCTCAGTGCGCACGCGCTCTATTTGTCACCTCCCTTCCCCCCCCCGCACCGGAAATAAACTACTGCTGATGCGCAAGCGCGACCTCGCTCCCCACCCGTTTCCGCTCACGTGCGCATGCGCAACCAGCCCGCTCGAGAGATGCCTCACAGCGCATGTGCAGCCACTTGTTTTCTTCGGTGCAGACACCAACCAACCGACCGACCAGGCCGCTCACCAGGTAACCAGCGCTCAACCAGTCACCAGCGCTCACCAGGTAACCAGCGCTCAACCAGTCACCAGCGCTCACCAGGTAACCAGCGCTCAACCAGTCACCAGCGCTCACCAGGTAACCAGCGCTCAACCAGTCACCAGCGCTCACCAGGTAACCAGCGCTCAACCAGTCACCAGCGCTCACCAGGTAACCAGCGCTCAACCAGTCACCAGCGCTCACCAGGTAACCAGCGCTCAACCAGTCACTAGGGCTCACCAGGTAACCAGCGCTCAACCAGTCACTAGGGCTCACCAGGTAACCAGCGCTCAACCAGTCACCAGCGCTCACCAGGTAACCAGCGCTCAACCAGTCACCAGCGCTCACCAGGTAACCAGCGCTCAACCAGTCACCAGCGCTCACCAGGTAACCAGCGCTCAACCAGTCACCAGCGCTCACCAGGTAACCAGCGCTCAACCAGTCACTGGGGCTCACCAGGTAACCAGCGCTCAACCAGTCACCAGCGCTCACCAGGTAACCAGCGCTCAACCAGTCACTGGGGCTCACCAGGTAACCAGCGCTCAACCAGTCACTGGGGCTCACCAGGTAACCAGCGCTCAACCAGTCACTGGGGCTCACCAGGTAACCAGCACTCAACCAGTCACCAGTGCTCACCAGGTAACCAGCGCTCAACCAGTCACTGGGGCTCACCAGGTAACCAGCGCTCAACCAGTCACTGGGGCTCACCAGGTAACCAGCGCTCAACCAGTCACTAGGGCTCACCAGGTAACCAGCGCTCAACCAGTCACCAGCGCTCACCAGGTAACCAGCGCTCAACCAGTCACCAGCGCTCACCAGGTAACCAGCGCTCAATCAGTCACTGGGGCTCACCAGGTAACCAGCGCTCAACCAGTCACTAGGGCTCACCAGGTAACCAGCGCTCAACCAGTCACTGGGGCTCACCAGGTAACCAGCGCTCAACCGGTCACTAGGGCTCACCAGGTAACCAGCGCTCAACCAGTCACTGGGCTCACCAGGTAACCAGCGCTCAACCAGTCACTAGGGCTCACCAGGTAACCAGCGCTCAACCAGTCACTAGGGCTCACCAGGTAACCAGCGCTCACCAGTCATTAGGGCTCACCAGGTAACCAGCGCTCAACCAGTCACTGGGGCTCACCAGGTAACCAGCGCTCAATCAGTCACTGGGGCTCACCAGGTAACCAGCGCTCAACCAGTCACTGGGCTCACCAGGTAACCAGCGCTCAATCAGTCACTAGGGCTCACAGGGTAACCAGCGCTCAACCAGTCACTAGGGCTCACCAGGTAACCAGCGCTCAACCAGTCACTTGGGCTCACCAGGTAACCAGCGCTCAATCAGTCACTCGGGCTCACCAGGTAACCAGCGCTCAACCAGTCACTGGGGCTCACCAGGTAACCAGCGCTCAACCAGTCACCAGCGCTCACCAGGTAACCAGCGCTCAACCAGTCACCAGCGCTCACCAGGTAACCAGCGCTCAACCAGTCACTAGGGCTCACCAGGTAACCAGCGCTCAACCAGTCACTAGGGCTCACCAGGTAACCAGCGCTCAACCAGTCACCAGCGCTCACCAGGTAACCAGCGCTCAACCAGTCACCAGCGCTCACCAGGTAACCAGCGCTCAACCAGTCACTGGGGCTCACCAGGTAACCAGCGCTCAACCAGTCACCAGCGCTCACCAGGTAACCAGCGCTCAACCAGTCACCAGCGCTCACCAGGTAACCAGCGCTCAACCAGTCACCAGCGCTCACCAGGTAACCAGCGCTCAACCAGTCACTAGGGCTCACCAGGTAACCAGCGCTCAACCAGTCACTAGGGCTCACCAGGTAACCAGCGCTCAACCAGTCACTGAGGCTCACCAGGTAACCAGCGGCTCAATCAGTCACTGGGGCTCACCAGTCACCAGCGCTCAACCAGTCACTGGGGCTCACCAGGTAACCAGCGCTCAACCAGTCACCAGCGCTCACCAGGTAACCAGCGCTCAACCAGTCACCAGCGCTCACCAGGTAACCAGCGCTCAACCAGTCACTGGGGCTCACCAGGTAACCAGCGCTCAACCAGTCACCAGCGCTCACCAGGTAACCAGCGCTCAACCAGTCACTGGGGCTCACCAGGTAACCAGCGCTCAACCAGTCACTGGGGCTCACCAGGTAACCAGCGCTCAACCAGTCACTGGGGCTCACCAGGTAACCAGCGCTCAATCAGTCACTGGGGCTCACCAGGTAACCAGCACTCAACCAGTCACCAGTGCTCACCAGGTAACCAGCGCTCAACCAGTCACTGGGGCTCACCAGGTAACCAGCGCTCAACCAGTCACTGGGGCTCACCAGGTAACCAGCGCTCAACCAGTCACTAGGGCTCACCAGGTAACCAGCGCTCAACCAGTCACCAGCGCTCACCAGGTAACCAGCGCTCAACCAGTCACCAGCGCTCACCAGGTAACCAGCGCTCAATCAGTCACTGGGCTCACCAGGTAACCAGCGCTCAACCAGTCACTAGGGCTCACCAGGTAACCAGCGCTCAACCAGTCACTGAGGCTCACCAGGTAACCAGCGCTCAACCGGTCACTAGGGCTCACCAGGTAACCAGCGCTCAACCAGTCACTGGGGCTCACCAGGTAACCAGCGCTCAACCGGTCACTAGGGCTCACCAGGTAACCAGCGCTCAACCAGTCACTAGGGCTCACCAGGTAACCAGCGCTCATCAGTCACTAGGGCTCACCAGGTAACCAGCGCTCAACCAGTCACTGGGGCTCACCAGGTAACCAGCGCTCAATCAGTCACTGGGGCTCACCAGGTAACCAGCGCTCAACCAGTCACTGGGGCTCACCAGGTAACCAGCGCTCAATCAGTCACTAGGGCTCACAGGGTAACCAGCGCTCAACCAGTCACTAGGGCTCACCAGGTAACCAGCGCTCAACCAGTCACTTGGGCTCACCAGGTAACCAGCGCTCAATCAGTCACTCGGGCTCACCAGGTAACCAGCGCTCAACCAGTCACTGGGGCTCACCAGGTAACCAGCGCTCAACCAGTCACCGGCGCTCACCAGGTAATCAGCACTCAACCAGTCACCAGCGCTCACCAGGTAACCAGCGCTCAACCAGTCACTGGGGCTCACCAGGTAAGCAGCGCTCAACCAGTCACCGGCGCTCAACCAGTCACTGGGGCTCACCAGGTAACCAGCGCTCAGCCAGTCACTGGGGCTCACCAGGTAACCAGCGCTCAACCAGTCACCGGCGCTCAACCAGTCACTGGGGCTCACCAGGTAACCAGCGCTCAACCAGTCACTGGGGCTCACCAGGTAACCAGCGCTCAACCAGTCACCGGCGCTCAACCAGTCACTGGGGCTCACCAGGTAACCAGCGCTCAGCCAGTCACTGGGGCTCACCAGGTAAACAGCGCTCAACCAGTCACTGGGGCTCACCAGGTAACCAGTGCTCAACCAGTCACCAGCGCTGAACCAGTCACTAGGGCTCACCAGGTAACCAGCGCTCAACCAGTCACTAGGGCTCACCAGGTAACCAGCGCTCAACCAGTCACTAGGGCTCACCAGGTAACCAGCGCTCAACCAGTCACTAGGGCTCACCAGGTAACCAGCGCTCAATCAGTCACTAGGGCTCACCAGGTAACCAGCGCCCAACCAGTCACTAGGGCTCACCAGGTAACCAGCGCTCAACCAGTCACTAGGGCTCACCAGGTAACCAGCACTCAACCAGTCACTGGGGCTCACCAGGTAACCAGCGCTCAACCGGTCACTAGGGCACACCAGGTAACCAGTGCTCAACCGGTCACCAGGGCTCACCAGGTAACCAGCGCTCAACTGGTCACTAGGGATCACCAGGTATCCAGCGCTCAGCCGGTCACTAGGGCTCACCAGGTAACCAGCGCTCAACCGGTCACTAGGGCTCACCAGGTAACCAGCGCTCAAAAAGTCACTAGGGCTCACCAGGTAACCAGCGCTCAACCAGTCACTAGGGGTCACCATGTAGCCAGCTCTCAACCTGTCACTAGGGTTCACCAGGTAACCAGCGCTCAACCAGTCACTAGGGCTCACCAGGTAACCAGCGCTCAACCAGTCACCAGAGCTCACCAGGTAACCAGCGCTCAGCCGGTCACTTCGGCTCACCAGGTAACTAGCGCTCAATCAGTCACCAGGGCTCACCAGGTAACCAGCGCTCAACCGGTCACTTGGGCTCACCAGGTAACCAGCGCTCAACCAGTCACTCGGGCTCACCAGGTAACCGGGGCTCAACCAGTCACTAGGGCTCACCAGGTAACCAGCGCTCAACCAGTCACTAGGGCTCACCAGGTAACCAGCGCTCATTCAGTCACTAGGGCTCACCAGGTAACCAGCGCTCAACCGGTCACTCGGGCTCACCAGGTAACCAGCGCTCAACCAGTCACCAGAGCTCACCAGGTAATCAGCGCTCAGCCGGTCACTTGGGCTCACCAGGTAACTAGCGCTCAACCAGTCACCAGGGCTCACCAGGTAACCAGCGCTCAACCGATTACTAGAACTCACCAGGTAACCAGCGCTCAACCAGTCAACAGAGTTCACCAGGTAACCAGCGCTCAACTGGTCACTAGGGCTCACCAGCTAACCAGCGCTCAATCGGTCACTAGGACTCACCAGGTAACCAGCGCTCAACCAGTCACCAGGGCTCACCAGGTAACCAGCGCTCAACCAGTCACTAGGGCTCACCAGGTAACCAGCGCTCAAACAGTCACTAGGGCTCACCAGGTAACCAGCGCTCAACCAGTCACCAGGGCTCACCAGGTAACCAGCGCTCAACCAGTCACCAGGGCTCACCAGGTAACCAGCGCTCAACCGATTACTAGAACTCACCAGGTAACCAGCACTCAGCCAGTCACTAGGTCTCACCAGGTAACCAGCGCTCAACCAGTCACCAGGGCTCACCAGGTAACCAGCGCTCAACCAGTCACCAGACTCACCAGGTAACCAGCACTCAGCCAGTCACTAGGTCTCACCAGGTAACCAGCGCTCAACCAGTCACCAGGGCTCACCAGGTAACCAGCACTCAACCGATTACTAGAACTCACCAGGCAACCAGCACTCAGCCAGCAACGAGTGTTACCCAGTAACTAACCCTCATCCAGACAATGGTCGCTGCTGAAGGCTCATACCCAGTTGCTCTCACTTGGTAATCATTGCTCACCTAGTAACCAGCACTAACCAGCACTCACCCAGTAACTCACCCGGGTACCAGAGCGCTCACATGGTAACCAGCGTTAATCGGCTTTCAACAGTTATACAGTTAATTCGCTGTACGGTATGTCCTGTGAAGCGCTTTGAGACGTCTAGAAAAGGTGAAAAGCGCTATATCAAATGCAAGTATTATTGTTACATTAAACAACTAAACTTACTGACTGCTATTAGTGCTGTTTTCACTTGGTGACTCGCTCTAAGTGTCTAACCAGCAATAACTCATTGGTCAGCGTAAGCCTGGTGTAAGTGACTAACTAATCAGTTATAACTCATTAACCATTGCTGACTGTTTATAGTGAATAACCAGCGGATGCCTCAGTGACCCAAGTGAGAGGCCGGGAGCGGAGGCGACATGAGGATCACAGTGAAGACTCTGCAACAGCAATCCTTCCACATCCAGATTGAGCCCGAGCTCCCGGTGAGTGCAACACACACACAGCCCCTGTAAACATGTAGCCGTGTGCTGAAGATAATACCCTGTGTGTACATAGACGCGAAACACGGAATGGGGCAGAATGTCTGAAAGATAAAGTCAAAGGTGTGTAAGGAGGTGTGGGTGGAGGCAGTGAGATAGCAGAGACAGGTAGCTAAGTGGATGCACTAAATGGGTCCAGGAGAGCATCAGGACAACTGTGATCACAACATCATCAGGTTTAGAATACTTATGGAAAGGGCTAAGGAGCAATCGAAGGTGAAGATACTCAACTGGAAGAGGGCTAATTTCAGTGAGTTAAAAAGGGACCTAGCCAAGGTGGACTGGAAAGACAGATTGGCAGGTAAACAGCTAACAAACAGTGGGAAGCCTTCAAGAATGAGATAATTCAGGGACAGAACAAATACATTCCCACAAAAGGGAAAGTTAGGGCATCTAAACCTCCCTGGATGACTAAGGAAATTGGGATTAAAACAGAAAAAGGAGGCTTGTGATAAATGTCAGTCCCAAAATACAGAAGATAATCAAATAGAATACAGAAAATACAGAGGAGAACTGAAAAAGGAAACAAGAGGGGCAAGGCGATTGTACGAGAAAAGATTAGCGGGTAACATAAAAAGGAACCCTAAGGTATTTTAGCATATTAAGCATATAAAGAATGAAAGGTTGCTCAAAGGTAGGGTGTGTCCAATTGGGGACCAAAAAGGAAATCATCTTGTGGAGGCAGAGGGCATGGCTGATGTACTGAATGAGTACTTTGCATCTGTCTTCACAAAAGATGAGGATGCAGCCAATGCTACAGTATCGGAGGAGAGGGTAGAGAAATTGGATGATAAGAATAAACCAAGTGGAGGTACTAAAAAGATTGACGGTGCTCAAGGTAGATAAGTCACCCAGTCCGGACGGGATAGGTCCTAGGTTACTGAGGGAAGTAAGGGTGGAAATAACGGAGATGTTGGCCACAATCTTTCAATCCTCCTTGGACACTGGGGTGGTGCCAGAGGACTGGAGGGTTACAAATGTTATGTTCCTGTACAAAAAGGGACAGAAGGATAAACCTTGGAACTACAGGCCAGTCAGCCTAACGTCAGTAATGGGGAAACTTCTAGAGACTATAATCTGGGACAAAATAAATTTTCACTTAGAAAAATTGGTACAGCCAACATGGATTTGTTAAAGGCAAATCGTGTCTAACAAACCTGATAGTTTTTGATGAAGTAACGGAGAGGGTGGATGAAGGTAGTGCAGTTGATGTAATTTATATGGATTTTCAAAAGGTGTTTGATAAAGTGCCACATAAGATAATTGTAAGCAAAATAGAAGCCGACGGTATTAAAGGGACAGTGGCAGCATGGATACAGAACTGGCTGGAAGACAGAAAGCAGAGAGTAGTGGTGAACCTGTGCAGTGGTGTCCCCCAAGGATCAGTATTGGGACCACTGCTGTTTTTGATCTATATAAATGACCTGGACTTGGGTATCAGGAGTACAATTTCCAAGTTGGCAGATGATACTAAGCTAGGAAAAATATAAACAGTGAGGAGGATAGTAGCAGACTGCAAACAGACATAGACAAACTGGTAAAATGGGCAGACATGTGGCAGATGAAGTTTAATGTGGAGAAATCCAAAGTGAAGTATAATAGCGCTAAAAAAAAACCAATAATAAATTGGTCATTTTCAATCCATGACCGTGGGACATTGCTGTGCGCAATTGGCTGCCGCGTTCGCCCACAAATATACAGTCAATTCACTTTACAGTGAAGCGCTTTGGGACGTCCTCCCGACGTGAAAAGCGCTATATCAAATGCAAGGATTATTATTAATATTTTGGGAGAAAGAATGAGGAGAGGCAATATAAGCTGGATGATGGAATCTTAAAGGAGGTGAAGGAACGGAGAGACCCGGGGGTTCATGTAAGTAAATCTTTGAAGGTGGCAGGACGGTAGATAAAGCTGTTAAAAAAGCATACGGGATACTAGGCTTTATAAATAGGGGCATAGAATACAAAAGTCAGGAAGTTATGATGAACCTTTATAAAACATTGGTTCGGGGTCAGCTAAAGTACTGTGTTCAGTTGTGGGCCCCACACTTTAGGAATGTCAAGGCATTGGAAAGGGTGCAAAGGAGATTTACCAGGATGGTACCAGGAATGAGGGACTTCAGCTATCAGGAGAGGCTGGAGACACTAGGATTATTCTCCTTGGGGCAAAGAAGGTGAAGATGAGACTTAATAGAAGTTTTCAAAATTATGAGGGGATTCGATAGGGTGAACAAGGAGAAACTGTTTCCACTGGTGGGTGGGTCGGTAACCTGAGGGCACTGATTTAAAATAGTTGTTAAAAGAAACAGAGGGGAGGTGAGGAGAAATTTTTTCACACAGCGAGTTGTTCGGATCTGGAATGCATTGCCTGAAAGGGTGGTGGAAGCCAATTCGATAACAACTTTTAAGAGAGAAGTAGATAATTATTTGAGGAGGACAAGTTTGCAGGGCTATGGGAAGAAAGCGGGGAATGGGATTGATTTGGATAGCTCTTTTCAAAGAGCCGGCACAGACACGATGGGCTGAATGGCCTCTTTCTGTGTTGTATAATTCTATGATTCTGTAAAATGCACAACAAAGTGTAAATGAGAGCTCAGCTGCAGGTGTACTTTACTTTCAGCATACTAATCGACGTCCCAATATCTGGATGAGGGAACCTGTTTACCTACTACTTCCAACTGTATTAAAAGGAAAGTGTTCCAGTCTTCATATTGTCAGCACTGAGATGCCCATTTCCTTGATGTATGCATCTTTTCCTTCTCTTTCCCCTCCAAAAAACACAGTTAAGATGTCAGTCGCCTCCTTCTCCATATTTACATAACTACATAACTAGTTTTACTAATTGTCATTCATAGTTTGTTTTCTAATTCTATCGATGTGATCAACTATTGATACATTAGTTTTATCATACCAATGTTTGACTCTAATGCAGTATAAGATTAAAGTCCTGACCATTCCTTGTTTTATAATACTACGAAGAATGAGAACTTTTAGTTGATGCCAGGCAGGTTATAGAAAGTCTTTAATTTAAGATGATTTTTGTTATAGATTTACAATTTCAGGTGCTGTTATCTCATTTATGAATATTATGAATTAGAATATATAACCATTGATTTTTCTATTCAAAATCTAAATTTGAGTGCTTATTTTTGAGTACTAGAATAAAAGAAAGGTGAAAATTGCTCTCACCTTGTAAATCTAGAGTTAAGTGTGTATCATTTTGTTTAGGTGAAAGCGTTGAAGGAGAAGATCGAAACTGAAAAGGGAAAAGATGCATTCCCAGTGGCTGGCCAAAAATTGATATATGCAGGTATTAAATTCTAGTGTTAATGGCCAATCAATCACAACATTGTTGAGTGCTTCTACGGTAAACCTCACATACGTCGTATCATTTGGGACCATAACATTTAATATGACTCACACATGTAAAACTTCCATAGTTTATAAACTCTTGAAGAGGACTTGGGCAGATGTATGACTTATGCGAGTTTTACTGTCTACTTTCTTAAACTCATTTTTAAGTAATTACTATTACACAGGCTCAATATTAATAGGTTTTAACTACTTGACCACACTTAAACTAATTTTTAAATAATTATTTTTGCTTAGGCTCAATATTAACAGGTTTTATCTGTTCAACCACACAAATAACAATCAATTTGTATCAATATCCTATCTCATACCTTTATCTGCATACAAACTGCATATCCCACAATCCGCTATGTTTGTTTGGCAGCATGCAGACTCTGACTTTGGTAAGGTTTTACTAATAGCTGATTCCAAACTTTTTTCTGAGGTTTTTAGATAAACAGTTTGTATATGCCAAAAGTCCCAATATTGGCCCAATAGACAATTTTCCTAGTCGGAAAATCAATTACAGAAAGCTGACATGCCCCAGAATACATTTGTGTTACTATCAAGGTAACTGGTAATTTTCAATTCAGTTCAAATTCCAACACCACGGTTGGTTTTGAAAATCAGTGTTGCTGCAAATTGACTTACTACACCCTCCACCCTCCCTGATTCCGCGCCCTCTGGCTCGGGTCCTAATTCCTGACTGTTCAGTGCCTTGGGACATCCTCCTGATGTGAGAGGTGCTTTACAAATGTAATTTTGTATTATACTAAATAGGTTGTGTTTTTTGCCTGCAGTTTCTCAAATTGTTTGATCTTGGATGAGCTGGTAAGGTTGAGGGTGAGGTGCTTCACCTGCAGTTGGATCCTATTCACTGTACGTGTGTGGTAGCTAGCCGGATAGCTTTCACACTAAATCAATAATAATAATCCTTGTATTTGATTTAGCACCTTATCATGTCTTCAAGATATCTCAAAGCGATTCACAGAATATTACTGTAAAGTGAATTGACCGTATATTTTGGATCAATACACGGCCACCAATTGCACACAGGAGTGTCCCATAAACAGTCGTGGATTGAGTGCCAAATTTTTTTTTTGTGAAGTGATTATTACTCCCGGAAAAGCGCTCTGCCAATCGACTAACCACTGGGTTCCTACTTACTGCTAGGTAAAGAGGCATGTGGAGTAAGGAAACTTGCCCAATGTTTTGCCCTGTTAGGATCAAACCCACGTCCTCTTGCTTGTGGGACAAGTGGCATTGATACTACAGGGGAATCACTAGGAACAACTATAAGTTAGATTTGTTAGTCGTGGATTGAAGTGACCAATTTCTTCTAACTTTCTTCTGTTTGTGGGACACTAGTGTGCACAATTGGCTGCCGCATTTCGCCCACAAAATATACAGTCAATTCACTTTATTCTGTGAAGCATTTGAGACATTCGAAGACGTGATAAGGTGCTATATCAAATTCAAGGATTATTTTTTAATTGTTATATTGGTGAGAAAAGGTATGAGGGTTTATGTGCCTTTAAAGCTCTCAGTACATTCAAACAAAATATTTGTGCCAATATTGTCATGTAAAATTAACTAGTACAGTATTGCAACATTCCTTCTTGTTACTTTACATTTCTACATGTTTTTGTGTTTATAACAATCACTGGGGGCAAGGAGTCATCCGACTCACCTCCTGTTAACCCTGTAAGCCAAAGCCCTAATGGGTAGGGTGGTCCTTGCAGGTGGTGGGAAAGCTTGCCAGACAGCAATATCAATGGCAAGCTATGTGGTTCTAGCTGGTTAGACTCCAGAAATACCCCAACGCATACTCTGGGGTCCCTAAACCTTGGCTCTTGCCAACCTGCATCAAATATTTTCTGGATTATGTAAGCAGGATGCATCCCTCTAGTGAGAGAGTATGCATTCCATTCAAACATCTATCTCTAGGATTTCCATGTGCAGGTGGGATGCACAGAAATCTCAGTTTTGTTTGGATACTCTTAAGCATGGTGATGGGTTTCCGCATGTATCAGACACCAGGCTGACTTTACTGTATATTGCTGAGAGAAATTGCATTTTGAGGAAATAATTTTAGATAATAAGACAAATGGGTTCATAATCTAGACTGACACTTCAAATGTGATACGGGGAGACAATAGGGTAAATTGAGGAATCATCTGCTGGTTCAGGTGGACACTAAAATTTCCATTACGTGATTCGAAAACCCCAGAAATGTGCCATCTTTTCTTTTAGCACCAGATGTGAGCAGGCTAGTTTTGCATATGCACAGTCAAACCAGCGATGGTGCCTTGCCATATATAGGTTGGGATTTTATGGATCCGAAACACCACATTATGACAAGGATCCACTTTGAAACATATTAGCTTAATAAATGTTATATCAAAGGCAAGGATTTTTGCATTGTTGTATGTGGTTACAAATGATGCAAACATAGTTAAGATCTTGAAAACTGGAGTTTAACAATCCTTTTTCTTTTCCTTTTAGGGAAGATCCTTGACGATGAGACGCCAATTATAGAGTATAAAATAGATGAGGAAAAATTTGTAGTAGTTATGATCACAAAGGTGGGTTGATTTCCAAAATATATCACTGGCCACGGTTTCTTCTTGCTAATTATTGTACGAGTCTGACTTAATGTATTTTATTGCTTAGCCTAAATCTAGTCCATCAGTTCAAGCAGCAGCTACTCAACCAGCAACTCCATCAACACCACAGCCTGCCTCCACTACTCCCACAGTTCCCCCAGCCTCAAGCCCCACTGCAACTACCGAAACTGTTCCAACCAACACCTCCAATGAGTTAAATACAGCAGAGAAACCAACAGAAAAATCTGATGAAACTTCAACTTCAACGTCGACTTCACCATCTGCCTCAACTATCAGGTATACATATATAGGCTTATTTGAATTTAATAGAAATTCATAAACGTAAATATTTGTCAGCTTTTGAGGTGCTCTGCAGGCCGGCAAATGTATTTTATTTTTTATAAACAGCTGCTTTTATAATGCCGGAAGGCAAAGAATTGAGTCAAAAAGATTAAAAAAAAACAGGTCTGGAGCTCTTAGAAATTGCATGTAGCAGGATCAAAGCTGAACTCATAGACATTTCAATGCATTACGGTGGAGTGCTGCATTGTTAAGAGGTACCGTACTTTGTGTAAGATTTTGCTTGACATCAATGACTACTTTCCAACATGGGTCACAAGGTTGATCATCAATCCCTGGGTGAGTTTTTTTTCCTAGCCCTGGGATGTTGAGGCCAATTGTGCTCCAACTCTACTCCAGCTGAGATTAGCTGGAACACTATATTCATTACACACAATGCAGTGCATTTACCCACTTAACCACTGGGGAAATCTAATACTTTTGCACAAAATTTTGAATGTAATCTTATTTTGGAACATTTATTTTAATTGTCTACGATTACTGAATCCTGAAAAGTTACATAGAAGTTGGCAGTTTCTTTATGAGGCAAGCTGTGTTTTTGTGTAAGGTTGGACGAATTTTCTCCTTTGGGAACAACATTGATTTGCAATTCTGTGCGATATGATCAAATTTAGTTCTAACTTTCAAAAGGGAGACAGCAAAGTTATAAAGGACAATGTTTCCTTCAGGCCTTCAGTAATTGATCCCAGACTCAAACTATATCCTGGCGTGCTGTTTAAAGTAAAATTCCAGGTATCTTTTATAATTTACAAAAAAGAGCTTACCTTTTTAAATTCCTAATTCTGGCTCTATCCTCTTGTGTATCCACTTGTAGATAGTGTGCCAAATGATACAGTAGAGGCTTCTGCTTGACTATACACAATGCTCTATTGTAAATAGTATACATTTTATAGGAGAGACTTCAACTTGCACATGCAAACTGCTCTACTCAAAAGATTTACATTTAGATATGTAACAACAAATCATTAGAAATAATTTGCAAATCATGTGAGTGTAGGATGCCAGACTGGTCTTGCTGTTGGTCGTGATATTTGATGACTGTAATTTCTTCCTGCTCAGTTTTCTGTGACAACAAGCGCGAGGGGTTCCTGCATAACAGCATTTTCAACAAAGGGATGAGATCACAGTCAGGGAAAACAACAGCTTTATCTGGGCTCATGAACAGCAGTACATTTAAAGACTTTTTTAATGATCTGAACTTCAGTCATACTTGTCTTCAACAACCACTCAGAGAGTGACCTTTATATAAGGGTGACTTCTGATTAAGTATTCGTTGGTGTGTGAACCGGGCAGTCTTTCTGTTACAGGGTAGTTGTTAACAGGGTTGGTTGCTGAACAGTGGTGGTTGCTTGAACACGTTTCGTCTGTACCTCAGGTTTTTTTTGTCATGGAACTCCAGCTGTCATTTGTCTTTTATGGTTTTCCTACTCAACTGCTTTTTCAACTCCAATATTCACTCTGAAGTTTGGGTAGGCACATGTGTTTAATAGGAACCGCAATGTGCCAAAGGGTTAAACCAGATCTACCTCTGGTAGATATCATACTGTGCTGATTTGAGCACAAGCCAGTATAAACTGGCAGTGTTATGGCTTAATCTACTCCAGGATTCATTGTGTCTTCTGGTTCACATTTTTAAAAAAAATGCAAATATTGCTTCCACAAATTTTTTTATTGCACATAATCACAGAGCAACTGTTCTGAGATCCAAATGTGGAAATGAGAGACGCTTTCATTCTACATACTTGCATGCTTTAAACACCCAACTCGTATTGTGACACTGAGTTAAAAGAATGAACAAGAAATAATCAAAATTGGTATTTTTTATATGCTTATTTTCTGCGGTTTGGAGTAAGCTTGTGTGGCAAATTGAATTTGACAGTAACTGAAATTGAATATCTGGAATATGAATCATCAGTTTGTAAATAGGATAGACGTAAAACTCTTCCATCACTTTGAGTTTATTACTCCATCTTTAGTCAGCCCCTACAAGTGATATGTTTGCTTTGGAATTCTGATGTTATCAAATGGTGATAAGAAAATATGGAACAAACGCTGACCATTCAGCCCATCTGTCCATCTACTACAATTTGGGTGTATCCTATCCTATTTGGGTTCTTTGCCAATCACTCAGTCTCCTGAGAGGAAGATCTATTNAAAAAAAATCCTCCCGGAACTGCACAGGGAATTGAGGAGAAAATGTCCAAAGTAATTATTCATCTTCACTACTCAATCCTCCTAAAACCATTTCCTCCCTCCCTAAGCCCCAGCAACAGAGAATCTTGTCCCGTTATATATTTTGACATCTTGGTCCATATTTAGCCCTGTATTGCTTCAACCAGATATTTATCCCTGATTTTTAAAGGAGTGAAACTAGTATGACAACAGTTTTATTTCACATATTGATTATTCCATGGGAGAAAACATTTCTTCTAGTCTCTCTTGAAGTTTGTTCATTTTAGACTGCATCCTCCAGTTTTGTACAAGTCAAACAGTCTATTTTTCTGCATCTGTGTTTCTTCGCTGTCTTGGTTACATCCTGTGCCACAATTGTTTTCTCAGATTAAGCTCTGCCAGCTTCTTCACATAACATACAGAATTTAAGTTCTCGAATTGACATTGATGCTAATCTGTGAATCCTTCTCGAACTCATGCCCCTTTCAAAGTTTGATGTATGACATTTATATGTCATGGGATTTCCCAATGCAATATAAACAGATAATGCATTGATTACTAAAACTAATGCATGACACTCTCCCTTTGGAATATCAATCATCTTCTCCCAACCCTACCCTCCTTTACATCCCACCCCCAGCTCGGGTAAAAACTTTAGACTGTCCAGTGCCTCGGGATGGCCACCTGACGTGAAAAACACTATATAAATGCAAATTATATAAGTTGACAGAACATCAGAGGACTGGGGGTCGCAGCTGGAGGAGGGGAAGTAGAATTGAGTGTTATCCTCATCCATGTGAAAGTTAACCCCGTGTCTGCGGATCTGGAATGCATTGCCTGAAAGGCTGGTGGAAGCCGATTTGATAACAACTTTTAAGAGAGAAGTAGATAATTATTTGAGGAGGACAAGTTTGCAGGGCTATGGGAGAGCGCGGGGGAGTCGGATTGATTTGTATAGCTCTTTTCGAAGAGCCCGCACAGACACGATGGGCCGAATGGCCTCCTTTTGTGCTGTATACTTCTATGATTCTATGACATCACTGAGAGAGAGCATATGGATGAGGAAGAGAAGGGGGCCAAGGATGCAACCTTGGGGTAGCCCACAGGTGACTAGGGAGGGGCGAGAAGATAAACCATTTGCGGAAATGTACTGGTGGTTTGTAAGCTAGGACTCCCGGAAAAGCAATCTGCCAATCGACAACAGCCCCGCACACAGTAGTGGCTCAGCCCCACCCACAGTAGCCTCGGGTAAACATCCGGCAGCAGCTCGCTGAGGGTAAGCTGCCAGAAACTTCATTTTCTAGAGGTTTATAGTGGAGGGCGCAGTGTATAGCTGATTCCATTTATAGCTGGACTTTTCTATTGGCCCAGGTTATCACTGTGTAATGTTTACTGTTTGCTTTTCTAATGCAAGCTTATAGTAATAGGTTGCTTTCCATAGGACAGCAACAACTTGCACTTTATAGCACCCTCCACACAGGGTAGCATCTCAGAGCAATTAACAGTGGCGGAGCATGACTCCGGGCGGGGGGCAGAGATGGTAGTAAGCATGGTCGAAAAGCGAGGTTTTCAGGCGGGACTTGAAAAAAGAGAGAGGGGGCAAGGCGGAGAGATTGAGGGAGAGTTTCAGGGCGTAGTGGCTAAAAGCGCAACCTCTGATGGTGGAGTGGAGGGCGTGAGGGACAAGCAGGAGGCCTGTGCTAGTCAAGTGAAGGCGCCGGAGGTTGGAGAGGTAGGGAGGTGCCATGGAGTGAAGGGATTTGAACACGAGTGAGGGCGTGCGTTATTAGCGCGTGGTCATTCTTAGTATTGTAGTGACATTATAAAAGAGTAATTTTATTAAATTCCATATAAACTGTATTTTTTGCAGGACCTCTGGTGGAGCTCAGGGATCTAGCTTGTTCGATGTAGCTACTTCGGCACTGGGTAGGTTTTGCTGTTTGTTTGTGTCTTTCATAGGTTCTCCTACTTTGATTTAAACTGCTTAGATATGGTTCATTAAATGTGCTCACAGTTAATGGTATGTTTTCACAGTGAGGATTAACTAATACGTTTTTCAAACAAAAAAGGACCAGAAGACAAAGGGTTGGATTGGAAAGTTAGGGCAAACACCAGAATCGTTTTTTTAAAAAAGAGAATAATTAATTACTGGAGTGCATTACCAGGCAGGATAGTTGAGGTCAGGACAAGGACTCATTTAAGAAAAAGCATTGGGTTGATGGTAAGGTTGGTATTCTGAATGGATAATATCAAATAAGCTAAAGAGCCTTCTTCATTCAAACTTGTTTTATAATCTTGTGACATAAAACAAGAGAGTACATACAGGCTGTCCGGCTGATGTTTTAGGTATTCAAAGACCACAAATGCAAGGGCCTTATTTTCTAGTTAATGGGTGGATGAACCAGTGCAATCTTGCAAGAGACATTTTTCAAGGTGTTCTTAATTGCATTAAACTATTCGAGACAAAATTAACTAATGGGTATGGAGGACACAACAATTTTTATTTATACGACGCCTTTCACTTTGACGTTTGTCCTCCATCTGTTCTTCTCCATACCTGGTGGGAATGCCTTTATACTTAACAACAACTTGCATTTATATGGCGCCCTTCACATGGGGTAGTGTCCCGGAGAGCTTGACAGTGGTGGAGTCTGACACCGAGCCAGGGAGCGAGGGAGGGGTTCGTAAGCACCGGAAGTGCTCGAGGGGTTCGAGTAGGGAGTGGAGGGAGAGTTGTGCAAAACTGATTTGCGACAACGCATTCCAAAACTCTAGCCGGGAAGAGCAGGTTAGAGATGCTCCTCAGTCACCCCTTAATCTTTTTAGCTTGAGTGGGGGAAAAAAGTCATAATATCTCAAGTCTTCCTTCTTGACTGAAATCCCTTATCTCTGGTAACATCCCGTTGAATCTACACTGCACTTTTTCCCAAAGCGTTTATCTCTACTATAATTGAGTGCCATAATTGTACTCAGTACTCCCAACAGTGGCCTAATTAAGGTCTTTAGTACAAGTTCATTATTATCATACTGTGAAGGACCTTGCAGTGGAGGGTTGCGATGCTGTGCTAATGGAGTTGGTGCCAGTCAGTGAAGTCCTGTGAGTGCTGCCAAGTACTGACTAAAGGTGGAGGAAGAGCAGTAACTGTTGGCTAATTAGTGAACAGACAGTGTGGCCACAGGCTGGGAGGCCAATTCTACTCCACTCTCATCCCCACTCCCACCTCTTCCCCTCTCCCCGCATCCCCAGGAAGCACCAGTGCAGTGAGAAGGGGAAGGGATCAAAGGGCTATGAAAGATGTTCAGCGTAGAGGAACTTGAGGACACGTGACCCAAATTGTTTTGTATCCTGCACACATATTACATTTGAATTTATCTTTAATATTGTTTGGAATTTGTGAAAAGAGATTATGATATACTAATATTTCTATCCCCGTAGCCTACCCTATGTTACAATTCTATTGTAACTGAGTAAAAGTTTATGGTAGATAAATATTAATAGATTATTTCTGTTATTATTCTATCATCCTAAGTGAATTTTTTTAATGTAATTGGTTTCACTCAACATCAGCATTGCAAAATAATTTTTTCAACGTTTGTTTTGTTTGAATTATATTTTGTAAACTGGAAATAGAATGTAGTTAGTTTTAATAACTAATTGTAAGACAATTGCTTTCATCCAGTATATGTATGTTTTGACTTGCTGCAATTGTGTTCTATTATCTAGTGACTGGTCAGCAATATGAAACTATGGTTACTGAGATCACGTCAATGGGATACAGTCGTGAGCAGGTAGTTGCAGCACTAAAAGCCAGCTTCAACAATCCTGACAGAGCAGTGGAGTATTTGCTGATGGTAAGAAAAAAGACTTGCATTACTTTAAAGCTGTGGATGGCAAAATCCACTAATACATACCCTAGTAGATTTTACCATCTGCGATTACAATAATCTATCCTAAATATAAGCAGTTAATGGATTTGACTTCAGCATATTATTTCTCATAATAATAAATTCACACAAGTGCACACTTCATCTGGATACAGACAGGATTACTTCATGAACCATTACTAACTTTCCGAAACTTTCTATTGGTCCACGTTTGTACACAGAACTAGTCTGTGACTGTGTTTATATGGCATGAGCTTCCAACCTAATCCTCTGAGAAAACAGAAGAAAGTCAGCATCTTATAATAAAAGCAAAACTATATAGCCTAGGCTTTATATTGAAATAGAATACATGTGTAGGTAGACTGCAGATGGACATATAACTGCAACCTTTTCATGCTTGATCCATGTGGCATTTGGGTGAGATCCAGTCACTAGGGCTAGAATTCCTTGTCTATCGGAAATCGCAGATTTAAAGAAATTGGAGAATTATCTCAGAAAAAGAGAGCTGCCTAATCCAATGCTTGGGCATATGGTTCCATGGTGCTATGTACTCTCTGATATATATATTATATATGGGCACGTAGGGATATAGCAGAGTAGAAAGAGGAACCATTGGGATGATGAGTCTGATTCTTTTAGCAGCCCTGGTTTTAGAAAAGCTGAAAATCGAGACTGAAAAAACGCTTCTCAGGAAAGTGTTAGTGTCGCTGGTGCCTCACTTTTGCAAAAAGCGCCTCACAGCATAATCCGTGTTTACTGCAGAGAATCCCATGTGGATCACGCTAACTTGCAGACATCAGATCTGCCCCAACATCAATCATCTCAGTTGAAGTCTTGCAAATCAGTGCTGAAATATACTCGGTGCGCTGGCAAAGTTTTGTTTTTTTAATAATGATAGTAGCGATGTGGCGTGTATTGTGGTTTTATGAATCTCCTTTTCAGGGAATCCCAGGAGAAAGAGCAAGGAGCTCAGTGAACAATCCACAGCAGACAACTGGTACAGCTTGTACTGGCTCTGCACAACCTGCGGCTCCAGCCCCCACTTCAAGAGGTGTGTGTTCAGCCCTCGGTGTCACGTTTTCTAGTGTAGAGGTTTGGTGTGTATTTAAATGGATTTCAGTGCTTTTAACAACAACAGATTACACTTATATAGCACCTTTCACGTCGAAAAGAGGTCACAGGGCGCTTTAAATTAGACAGGTAGGTAATTTGGCAGTCTGATATTTCCAATTCTAGTTTACCAATTGATCTGTACTATTATTATTATCTTTTCACTCCTTTTGTAAAAATGTTTGTTTGACTTCTTTCTCTTTCCAGTGGGATATGGCTCCATGGTGCCATGTACTCTCTGATATTCGCCTACTTGGATATTATTGATTATGTAAGACATTATAGTGAGTGTCGGCAGATTATTTGACCAGAAAATGGGGGAATGTCTTATCTGATGACTCTACACGTGAACCTCCAGCATGAGTCTTTAGATAGTAATCCATAGGAGAAATCCTGGCTGACGTTTTCCCATTCCCCCAACCCTGGGTGTTGAGGCTAAATTTAGTGCCTCTACTGTCTTCCCATCTTAAGATCACTAGGGATCAAGCCAGAGATTTGTTTTTTTTATCTATTTGGCTCAGCTTTTCACTGGTTAAGTGCTACATTTTATGAAGCTATTAGTACAATAAAAAGCTTACAGAACTGAGAATTGGAACAATAATTCATATAAGTTGCGATTGATCACCTGAAATGGCTTTACAATAAGCTGCAACATACAAACTACTTTAAAAAAAGTCATATTTAAGAGTAGATAGATAACTCTGCAGATTAACGGCTATTCATACTCCTTGGCATTTTGCATTGTCAGAAATGTGCAAAGGAGACATGCTTGATCTGCAGTCTTTATACAGGGGACATTGTTATAGTGCCTTTCAATATAGTACTGCCTCCTTTATAGTGTTGGTTTCCTGTGGGCGCATGCTAACTAGCACTTCCGCTGCTAACTAGCTGGCTTCTTGTGCTACAAAATAGCTGACGTACGGTCAATAGATCGCTTCCGAAATTGCTTCCTGCATATATGCATGTTATGTACAGAAAGCATCGCTGATGCCTCTTCCAGTGCACTTTCGCTAAGCGAAAGAAGGGCTGCTGCAATTGCTTTGCAAAGGAAGTGATGATATCAACGTTTCTTGCACTTAGGGTACAACAGACATGAAGTGACATCAACATTTTGCATGCTAAAATAGGCTTGTGTAAGTTTATATACACAAAAAGATTTGATCAAAATTGGTTTGTGTGGCAGCTGGTTGAGGATGGGTCAGGCTTAGTTGTGATGCCCTCTACAGTTTGAGTGGCCTTCCAACAACACTTACTGCCAAGCCTCACATGAAATGAACAATGGCCACGCAGGGCTCTTGGGTCTTGTGGAACCGCACCCCAGCATTGGGAGAATTTTTAAAAATTGGACACATTACATATTGAAAAAAACATAAGAATGTTAACGAAAAACAGGCTTTCGTAGGAATGTTTTAGTGATAGACCAATCTGGAAACGCAGGCCAGCACTAAGATTGATTTTGGGGTTAATTCAATGAAGGCTATGCAATTAGGAGCTTGAAACTATGGCATAATCAGCTCTACTTAAGATTTGTTGGTGCAGCAGCATTGACATGTCTGCTTTGTGACGTATGCTTTGTCGCATTAGTTCCTACTAGAAATAAATGAGTTGTGCCTTTTACTGGAACTATTTGACTATTTAAAGTAGGCTAAGCTCCTTGAGGAGACCTTGAAGGCATTGACTGGTAGGTAGGAACATAGGAATTAGGAGCAGGAGTAGGCCATTCGGCCCCTCGAGCCTGCCCCACCATTCAATAAGACTTACCAAGAATAGAGGGGAACCAAGAAGACAATGTTAGTGAGCAACTTGGGGAAATTAATATTAGTAAAGAAATGGTTTTACGTAAATTGTCAGGTCTTAAAACTGATAAATCCCCTGGACCTGATGGCCTACATCCTAGGGTTTTAAAAGAGATGGCTACTGAGATAGTGGATGGCTTGTCTTTGATCTTCCAAAATTCTCTGGATTCTGGAACGGTTCCCATTGATTGGAAGATTGCAAACATAACACCAATATTTAAGAAGGGTGGGAGAGAAAAGATGGGGAACTATAGACCAGTTAGTCTGACATCAGTGGTAGGGAAAATTCTTGAGTCCTTAATTAAAGATGTCGTTATAGGATTCCTGGAAGACCATAAAAAGATTTGTGGAGTCCTGTAGCTCAGTGGTTAGAGCACTCGCTTTGCAAGTGAGAGACCTGAGTTCAATTCCAGGCAGGGCGAAACCTTGGGCAAGTTTCCTTACTCCACACGCCTAATAATAATCCCTCCAAAAACAATAATAAATTGGTCATTTTCAATCTATGACTGTTTGTGGACATTGCTGTGCGCAATTGGCTGCCGCGTTCACCCACAAATATGCAGTCAATTCACTTTACAGTGTGTTCTGTGAAGCGCTTTGGGACGTCCTCCCGACGTGAAAAGCGCTATATCAAATGCAAGGATTATTATTATTAGGCAGAGCCAACATGGCTTTACAAAAGGGAAGTCATGCTTAACTAATCTTTTAGAGTTTTTTTGAAGGTGTATCTAGTAGGTTAGATAGGGGGGAACCAGTAGATGTAGTATATTTAGATTTTAAAAAGGCATTTGACAAAGTGACACACAAAAGGCTATTGCACAAGGTTAAGACCCACGGGATAAATGGGAGCATATTAGCATGGATTAAAGAGTGGCTAATGGGTAGAAAACAGAGAGTAGGGATAAACGTTTCATTCTCGAATTGGCAGGATGTGACTAGTGGAGTGCCACAAGGATCAGTGCTTGGGCCTCAGCTATTTACAATTTACATCAATGATCTAGACGAGGACATTGAATGTAACGTATCTAAATTCGCGGATGACACTAAACTAGGTGGGAGAGTAAGCTCTGAGGAGGATGCAAAAAGATTGCAACGGGATATAGATAGGCTAGGAGAGTGGGCGAGTAGGTGGCAGATGGAATTTAATGTGGGGAAGTGTGAAGTTATACACCTAGGTAGCAAAAATAGAAAAACAAGATTATTTTCTAGAGGGGGAGAGATTAGATAGTGTTAGTGTTCAGAGGGATTTGGGTGTCCTTGTACACCAGTCTCAAAAAGTTAGTTTGCAGGTGCAGCAGCAACTAAGAAGGTGAATGGCATGTTAGTGTTCATTGCAAAAGGTTTAGAGTACAAGAGTAGGTAAGTCTTGCTGCAGCTGTATAGAGCCTTGGTGAGACCACACCTTGTGTGCAGTTTTGGTCTCCTTATTTAAAAAAGGACATACTTGCCCTAGAGGGGGTGCAGCGTAGATTCACTCGGTTAGTTCCTGGGATGAGGGGACTGACTTATGAGGATAGGCTGAATAAACTAGGGCTGTATTCTCTGGTGTACAGAAGAATTAGGGGAGATCTTATTGAAACATATAAGATTCTTAAAGGGCTGGATAAAGTAGACACTGAGGGACTGTTTCCCCTGGTAGGAGAATCTATAACCAGGGGTCACAGTCTTAAAATGAAGGGTCAGCCTTTTAGAGCAGAGTTGAGGAAACATTTCTTCACTCAGAGGGTAGTGAATTTATGGAATTCACTAGAAGTTTTTAGATGCTCAGTCCTTGAACATTTTCAAGGCTGAGACTGATAGATTTTAAAAAAAAGAGGGATTAGGGGATATGGGGATAGGGCAGGTAATTAGAGTTAGGTCAGAAGATCAGCCATGATCTTATCGAATGGCGGGGCAGTCTCGAGGGGCCGAATGGCCTACTCCTACTCCTAATTCTTATGTTCTTAAGATCATGGCTGATCTTCTAACCTAACTCCATCTGCCCGCCTTATCCCCATATCCCTTAATCCCTCTATCCTTTAGAAATCTATCAATCTCAGTCTTGAATATGTTCAAGGACTGAGCATCTACGGCCTTCTGGGGTAGAGAATTCCATAAATTCACTACCCTCTGAGTGAAGAAGTTTTTCCTCAACTCTGTTCGAAAAACCTGACCCTTAATCTTAAGACTGTGACCCCTGGTTATAGATTCTCCAACCAGGGGAAACTGTCTCACACTGTCAAGTTCCATAAGAATCTTATATGTTTCTATAAGATCACCCCTAATGCTTCTATATTCTAGAGAATACAGCCCTAGTTTACTCAACCTATCCTCATAGGTCAACCCCCTCATCCCAGGAACCAACCTAGTGAAACTACACTGCACCCCCTCTAAGGCGAGTATGTCCTTTGTTAAATAAGGAGACCAAAACTGCACACAATATTCTAGGTGTGGTCTCACCAAGACGTATACAGTTGCAGCAAGACTTCCCTACTCTTGTATTCTAACCCTTTTGCAATAAATGCCAACATGCAATTAGCCTTCCTAGTTGCTGGATGAAAGGAACATCCATCTCAGTTGTTGATTTGGTATTTGTGATGGACACCACCTTTTTCTTGGACATTGTCCTTTGGACTGTGCTGAGATGGGGTGAAGGGCACTCTGATCATCCTTGTGTCTCTTCAGTGACAGCAAGGACCCAATGCAAGTTAAGATTGTAGTGTCTAAAATGTGTGTCCAAATGATCTCCTTCATGTTTCTGAGCTCCTGGGCATTGCAGTGGCCCATTTGTTAATTCCAAGCAATGGTATTTGTGATAAAAAGGGGAAGAAGCATCAAGCTTTTTTTAAAATTAATCCACTGATCAGGCAGCAACCAACCTTCCATGTAACCTGTTCCATTCGTTAATTACCTTCTACTAAGTAAATACTTAATGTCTATCCTCAAATTGCCCTTTGCAGCCCTAAACCTGTAGGATAAATCTTGATTGACAGCGAGGTAAGCAGCTGCTGATAAAGCTCTGCACTTCCGACTGTAGAACCATTGCCCAATGGATAGGGATATGGGTCTGAGTTATGCAAAGGAAGATGATAGCAATCTTCTCATGGATTTTATGCTGAGCTGTTTTGCTCACCAGGAAGCTCACATTGAGTTTCTGGTACATACTGTCCATTAGTGAGATCTCCAACAACGACAAGTTGATTTTTTTTAGTGTCCTTCACAGAATAAAATCTTAGAGAGCTTTACAATGTTAGGTCAGATAGCTCCGAGTAAAGGAGGAAGAGGTTTGAAGGTGCAGTTTTAAAGATATTTAAAGACAGAAAGTGAGGAGGTGAGATGGAGTGGTAAAGAGAGGGAGTTCCAGAGATTAGGGGCCTAGAATTGAAGTCAAATACAAATTTATGCTTGTCCGATGTCTAATGACAACCTATTGACTCTCCTCCTTGGGGTTGGGGGGTAAATGGGATTTTCTTCAAGCTGAGCTGCCTCCAAAGTGATGTTTGGTAATGGAATTTTGAAATTGAGTCAATCCTGTGATGGTCTCGGTAGTGCAGTTCCTAAGATAGGTGGTTCCACAGTGCACACTTGATAATACACTCATCAGCGCGGCCCATCGGTCGGACTCAGAGAAGCACATTGGGGATGCAAGCTATGCCCTGGAGTGCAGCAACTTACCTACTTGGCGAATAAAAATTTCCACAATGTGGTGCGTTGTCAAACTGAACGTCTGACCTGATCTCTGACACTTCACAATTCTATAGTTTGCTTCAACTATATTTATCTAGGTAATAAGGATAAATATATAATTCTCATTTTGTTTTGTGTTGACCGTTCCAGAATTTAAACATGAAACTGTTCAGTGAATTGGTCCTGCCTATATTCCTAAGGCTCCGTTACACTTTGTTTAACACTTTAACACTTAATGTGCGTGGAATTACATTGGAATTTGTAAATGTAACCCAACTCTTCAATTGGGGAATCCATCATTTTCCAAGGAGGATTCCATCAGCTAAATTTTAAGATGTTCATTTTCAAAACAAAATTATTGAGGGGTTTTGGAAGGGGCAGGAATATACCAGTAACTAGTGCCACATTTCTTTATTTACTAAGGCATAAACAGTATCTCCTCCTCTTCTAATCTCGTCCTGGGGACTGTGTTTCTTTTTAGAGAATCCACTGGAATTCTTGCGGAATCAGCCTCAGTTCCATCAAATGAGGCAAATCCTTCAGCAGAATCCTTCTCTGCTACCTGCCCTACTTCACCAGTTGGGCAGGGAGAACCCACATCTTCTACAGGTGAGATGATGGGGTCGAGGTAAGATTCCCCAGGATTTAATAATTTGGTCAAGCTTTTAAGGTTTAATTTCTTTTCAGTTTTTTTTCTTTAAAATTCAACAATTTATATAGCGCCTTCTTGCCAGGAAGACATCTCAAAGCTTGTTGAACAACTGACTGAGGGTAAGGGTGTTGGTGGACGGGGGGAAGGAGATTGAAAGCGTAGTCTTAAGGTGGCCTTTAAAGTCAAGGGAGAAGGACTGGGAGGAACTGATGGGAGACGTGAAGCAGGCCAGTCAACCTCTGAATAGAGTAAACCCCCATCTTGTCAGAGTCCGGGTATCCTGAATTCGAAGCTAGCTGGACCGGGCCTGAAACCAACAAAACTTTTTTAAAAAAATCCTCAGACCAAAAATTTCTTCAGGACATAAACTGAAGACTCCCAATTCTCCTAGTGTCACCAACACCACACTGAGCAGCCTTGCCGTCCATGCTGGCCTTCCCAGTGGCCAAGGATACTGACTTTGACTCAGATTATTTGAATCCTGTGAGCAGAAGGTAGCTTATTCACGATCTCCTGCTTGGGCAATTCAAACAATTACAATACTGGTACCGACATTTTGGAAAAATCCTGATAAGTGCCAGTACTGGCTTTGTAATTACACTTAGCCGAAAATTCTAGCTCACCGGACCGGATCTCCCTGCAGCTACTCCCGCTAGCTGGGTTTGAGTGTACTGTACATCTAAAAATGTACACTACATTACTTGTAATTTGAAACATTACTTAAAATATGAAAATGGTACATTTTTAGCCTTTTTTGTGATTGTAAATTAAGAACCTTGAACAACCTTGTTTTTTGTCCTGCCTGCAGCAAATCAGCCAACACCAGGGGAATTTCATTCAAATGTTAAATGAACCAATCCAGGACATTGCAAATGAAGTAGCGGTCACCAGTGCTGGAGAACAGCAAATGGATCACCTTCAAGTAACACCCCAAGAAAAAGAGGCTATAGAGAGGGTGAGGTTTCACACTTAATTATCTCACAACTATAAGTTGGTAAAGGATAGAATTGCTTTAGAAGAATAATGTAAATCATATGACTCTCCCCACAAGCCTCCTCACTGGAGCCAATCTTTTATGGTGTAATGTTCTGCTCAGAATTGAATGTGCTCAAAGTTGCTCTTGATTCAGTGGTGCGCAAGCAAAGAATAGAAACCAGTTCGGGACACATTGCTTGGGCGGGTGCGGGGGGCCATGAATAGCATTTGATTTTCATTTGGGATATTGATTTATTTATTTAGAGCAATCATGTCTATTTCAGAAAACTTCTTTTAAGTTTGTTTTAAATTTTTTAAAAAAAATTTGAACTGCCTTAAAATAGTCCAGCCAATTGAGTACTACAACAACAACAACTTGGATTTATATAGCGCCCTCCACACCGGACGGCATCTCAGAGCGCTTCACAGTAACGGACCCCAGGACCGAGCCAGGGGCAGAGGGGGGGAAGGTGACCAAAGGTGCGGTCGAAAAGAAAGGTCTTCAGCAGAGACCTGAAAATAGGAAGGGAGGGAGTGAGACTAAGCTAGTGAGGAAGGCACTTCCAGAGCTTCGGGGCATAGTGGCTGAAGGCACGGCCTCCGAGGGTGGAGCGGAGGACTCGGGGGACGATGAGGATGCCAGAACTGGAGGACCAAAGGCAACGGGTACTGTTTTGAGGAGAGAGGAGGTCAGAGAGGTAGGGGGGTGCAGAGGAGTGGAGGGATTTGAATACAAGGGTGAGGATCTTGAAATCGATCCTCTCTGGGATATGCAGCCAGTGCAGTCTGGCAAGGACTAGGGTGATCTGGGAGTGGTGTTTCGTGCAGGTGAGAATGCGGGCGGCAGAGTTTTGAATGATTTGGATTTTATGGATGGTAATGGATGGGAGACCGGGGAGGAGGGCATTAGAGTAGTCCAGCCGAGAGGTGACAAAGGCATGGACCAGGGTTTCAGCGGCTTTTGGGGAGAGCTATTGGCGGAGACGGGCGATGCGTCGGAGATGGAAGAAAGCGGTGCTGGTGAAGGACCAGATGTGGGGGGAAAAGGATAATTGGGGGTTGAACCTGACGCCTAGATTGTGTACGGATTCGGAGAATTTTAGGGGGAGGTCGGGTAGGTGGAGGAGGTGAGAGCCGTGAGATTTTAGACGTTGACGAGAGCCAAAGAGTATGGCTTCTGTCTTGTCAATGTTCAGCTGAAGAAAATTTGTGCTCCATTCAGCCCCTGAGATCTGACAGGCAGACTGACAGAACATCAGGGGACTGGGGGTCGCAATGAGAGGTGGAAAAATAGAGTTGGGTGTCGTCTGTATACATGTGGAAATGTACATCCCCAAGAGGGAGCATATAGATCAAAAAGAGGAGGGGGCCAAGGATGGATCCTTGGGGTACCCCGCAGGTACCGGGTGAGAGCGGGAGGAGAAGCCATTTGTGCAGATGTACTGCTGGCAGTTTGTGAGGTAGGATTCGAACCAGGCGAGTGCGGTCCCACTGAGGTGGATGACGGAGGAAAGGCGGTGGAGGAGGATGGCGTGATCGACTGCGTCGAACGCGATTGAGAGGACAAGGAGGCAGAGGGAGCCCTGGTCACAGATAGAGAGGATGTCGTTTGTGACTTTCACAAGCGCAGTCTCTGTACTGGGGGCAGAGCGGAAACCGGACTGGAGGGGTTCGAAGAGGGAGTGGGAGGAGAGGTGTGCGCAAAGTTGGTTGGCAACAACCCGTTCTAGAACTTTTGAGAGGAAGGGCAGGTTAGAAATGGGGCGGTAGTGGCTGGGGTTTGAGGGATCTAGGGAGGGCTTTTTCAGGAGGTGGGTGATGACAGCAGTTTTTAGGGAGGCAGGGACTGATCCGGAGGAGAGTAGACAAGTAATCTGGTCGAACACCACTTCCAATATTATATCTTCCTAGCTACTGCAGGGTGTATAAGATAATTTCTTTCATTCTTCTTTTGTGAATTGCACGACCTGAATTTGAGATATCCTTCAATGACCCAGTGGAAGCTGGGATATCTTGTGTTATGCATGAATGTCAGTGATCATTGGCCTAAGCACGTTAGTGGGCTGACATGGTGCAATGAAGACCTCTCCCTAGATTTGTCAAGTATAAAATATATTGCAAAAAAGGGAACCGATCAGATTTTAACAGCAGCACCGTTATGCAGTCAACTCGGCTGTACCGTCAGAGGGTGAGCTACCATGGCAATCAATAGTGGTGTTCACTATAAAAGTGCCAAGGCTACATTCTGTCACCCCAACTTTATTTGTTAAACAAAGGATCAGACGCGGAATTAACAATCATTTGTCATTCCAAGATAAATTTATTTATTTGTATTATATTGATTGCATAATTGTACACTCGCTTCTCTGACATTGCAGTTACTATTGGGGGTTTCTAAATCATATTTTTTTTTTTCAGTTAAAGGCTTTGGGATTTCCTGAAGGACTTGTGGTTCAAGCCTATTTTGCCTGTGAGAAGAATGAAAACTTGGCTGCAAATTTTCTACTACAACAGAACTTTGATGATTGAGATAAAATTAGACACTTTTAATTGTTTATTCTTTTTTCATTGAATGACACTGATTTTGGATTTGCATGTATTTTCTGTACCTAACAATGCTGCCTACTTCAGTTCTGCACTGAAAACTGTAAACCAGGGCTCCATACTTTCTGACCTTTTAATGCCAACTTAAAGAAGTAGAATAATTGGTTGCATTAAATTAACTAAAGGCATAGCTTATATTTTTATGTTTGATTACTGCCAGCCAATTCTATGTTTTTCAAATGAAAACATGTAATTGTTTTATAAATTTAATCAAAGATTTATTATCAGGCATGTTTCTGATCTGATTTATGAGAATGTGCAATGGCATATCTATAGAATTTTAAACTGTTGTGCCAGATGGAGATTTTTTAGTTTATAATAGCAAAGAACCTGAATATTGTTAACTTCAATTAAAAATGTTTGAATTGAAATTTAAGATTGAAGTATTTATTTGAAGTTTTGTATGTTTCACTTTCTTTCCATGCCCGGGGTAATAATTCCTTCAAAAAAAAATTGGTTACTTCTATCCATGACTTGTTTGTGGGACACTGCTGTGCACAATTGGTTGCCGCATTTCACCCACAAAATATAGTCAATTCCTTCACATTATATTCTGTGAAGCGCTTTTAGACGTCTAGAAGATGTGATAAGGCTCTATGTGAAATACAAGGATTATTATTTAAGGTCCTTGTCTGCCCTCCATGGTCTTGCTCCTCCCTACCTCCGTGACCTAATAAACCTTACCAACCTGACCACTCCCTCCGATCGGCGAGCACTGGGCTGTTCAATGTCACCATGGTGGTCGGGCCTTCAACTTTCCTGCGGCAATCCTCTGGAACTAAATCGTGGATTCCCTTCACCTCGCCCCTTTCCTTGCCTACTTCAAGGCTGGTCTCTGGACCCTCTTGTTCGACTGTGCCTTTGAGCATCTTCCCAAACCCCTTGCCCTCCACCCTTGTTGATTCCAATCTCCAGCTTGAGTGCAAACTATTGACTGTCCATTGCCTTGGGATGTCCTCGTGAGGTAAACGACACTATATAAATGCAATTTGTTATCCAACCAATTTTATATTTGTAAATAGAACTTTTCATTTGGGAGCACATCTGTTTTACTTCACAGTCTTGACCACACCATGGAAAAAAAAACTTGCTGTGGGTTTCAATCTCTGACTCAATTTTTGTTGTCTTTTGACCAGTGAATAAATGCTGTACTCCAGCTCACTTAAGTGGTTGATTTACATATTTTGGGGTCGAAATTATGTACAAAGTATAATTGATATAAATTAAATGGCTACCATAATTTGGGCCGTTAAGCCCAACAATTCAACAATGGTTGAAATTTTACATGCAAAATTCCTATTCAGACATTCCACTTTTTTGGGGATATAATACAGATGCCTCATCATTAAATCACATTCCAAAGCATGTATAACACATTATACCTTCTGTTCCAGGTGCTAATTTTTAGTAACTTCTGAGTTTTTGTCTGGCAGCAGTGATGAACTTTTTAAAATATGATACTTGACCAAAGATATATAGGGATCATTTGACAGAAACATGACTAATATAATAGGATATAATGATACTATACATTTGATGTGGGCTTTGCACACATCCAAACCACTGGAAGGGTCATCAAGAGACAGAGATATTGCATGTTTTATTCTGGATGTGGTTCCACAACTACCAAGTCAACTAAGATTTATTTGGAGGAAACCCTGTTGCCAGACAGCATTGGATTACAAGGAGAAACCTTCCTTGCCTGTGCAGTGTGTTACTGAACACATATTTTACAGTTTCCACCACAATTTTTTTTCCTCAAATATTTATCGGATTTCCTTTTAATGCTGGTATCAACCCAGTTTCAACAGCCCCATTTGTGGTAAGCCATTCCACATTCTATCAGCCTATCAACATGTTAAAACATTTCTAACTTAAATTTCTAACCTTCCCCTTTTTTGGACATTAACTTAATAGCTGTTTGTGAGTGTAGATTGGCTCTGGTATTTGTCTACAAAATGCAGTCACTCCACTACAGTAAATCCTGTGAATTGCATTGAGATGTCTTCATGGAAGGTCCTGTATAAGATATAAGGACTTATTATTTACAGAGACCTGGCTGATCAATCAATCACAATCACACATCCTGTATTTCACTGAAAAGTTTCCATTGTCCTTCATGTAAATATATTCAATCACTCCCTCACTTTTTAGCCCAATTGTTTTGTTTCCTGGCATACTGTTGCATTACATTTTCTAAATGTTTAGTATTCAATTCTATTCAATTCTAATTGTTTTTCATACAGACAAGTTCATATATTGTTATAATTCTCATAATGTTATACTGGCGGCCAGTCCTGGCTGTGCTTGGTATGTTTTGTACATGTTTGTGTATTGTTAGAGTCGTATAATGTTATAATTTGTCTAATATTCACCCACCAAATATACAGTCGATTCACTTTACAGAATATGCTCTGAAGCGCTTTGAGACGTCTCGAAGATTATTATTATTATTATAACGTAATGCAAATTTGTGGACTCGATTAACAAAAGATGGAATAATGTTATACACAGGGGTGCAGGGTCAGAGCGGGCTGGAGCATTTTTCTGACCTGAAATCCATAATGAAGGGTGGATGGGTTGATGGACAGGTGGATGGTCCAATGTGAGTGTGGGATGGATTGAGGGGGGCCTATATTTATTTTTAAAAATAATCTCATCTTTGAATTTGTAAATACCTTCACAAGTTGTTTGCATGTGTTTAGTGATATAGAAGATATAGTGATTATAATAATCCTTGTCATGCTGTTGAGACATCTCAAAGTGCTTCACAGAATATAATGTAAAGTGTATTGATGGTATATTTTGGGTATAGGAAGTACAATTTCCAGATTTGCAGATGATACTGAGCTAAGAAAAGTAGTAAACAGTGAGCAGGATAGTATCAGACTGCAAACGGACACAGACAGACTGGTAAAATGGGCCGACACGTGGCAGATGTAGTTTAATGTGGATAAATGCGAAGTGATGCATTTTGGGAGGAAGAATGAGGAGGGGCAATATCAGCCGATGGTACAGTCTTAAAGGGAGTGAAGGAACAGAGAGACCTGAGGGTTCATATAAGTATATCTTTGAAGGTGGCAGGACAGGGAGATAAAGCTGTTAAAAAAGCATACGGGATACTAGGCTTTATAAATAGGGGCATAGAATACAAAAGTCAGGAAGTTATGATGAACCTTTATAAAACACTGGTTAGACCTCAGCTAGAGACTGTGTTCAGTTCTGGGCCCCACACTTTAGGAAGGATGTCAAGGCATTGGAGAGGGTGCAAAGCAGATTTACCAGGATGGTACCAGGAATGAGGGACTTCAGCTAACAGGAGAGGCTGGAGAAGCTAGGATTATTCTGCTTGGAGCAGAGAAGGTTAAGAGGCGACCTAATGGAAGTTTTCAAAATTATGAAGGGGATTCAATGGGTGAACAAGGAGAAACTATTTCCACTGGCGGGTGGGTTGGTAACCCAAGGGCACTGATTTAAAATAGTTGTTAAAAGAAACAGAGGGAAGGTGAGGAGAAATATTTTTACACAGTGAGTTGTTCGGATGTGGAATGCATTGCCTGAAAGGGTGGTGGAAGCTGATTCGATAACAGCTTTTAAGAGAGAAGTAGATAATTATTTTGGGAGGTCAACTTTGCAGGGCTATGGGGAGAGCGCGGGGGAGTGGGATTGAATTGGATACTCCTTTCAAAGAGGCAGCACGGACACGATGGGCCGAATGGTCTCCTTCTGTGCTGTGTAATTCTATGATTCAATGATTCTATGAAGGTTTCCCAGGTTTCCATTATGACTCCGTGGAACTAGTGAATAGGTGAAGACTCCAAGTTGTGAGGGAGTCAGTTGCATTCCTTGTTTTCTCGACCCTGGTCATTTGTCCTCATCACATGCAACAGAGAAAGTGGTCCATGGAGCTACTGCTCGCGCGCTTTCCCATTTTCCTTACTATGATCACCTTGCCCAATCTTACCCGTTGTTGCTTACACTGCGAGAAAGATTTCGACGATAAATTCACTTATTACAGGAATCATCTATGGTGGCGATCTTCCTGGGTGGGAGACATGGTTTACTGCCAGAAATTCATTGATAAATGGGTTGATGAGATCAAAGATACCAAAGTGACAGTGCGTGAGTATTGGGGCATGACTTGCCCTGGTATTGGGGATAATGCCATCGGGGCTCTGTTATATTTTGTAAATGACTACAAAGCGAAATTGGAAATTATTTCATGGTCGGACACGCCTTGAAGTACTAGATACAAAACAAAGGCAGACACCTTGAACACAAGAAATGTTTTAAGGCAGATCACCTTCTATATCCACCAACACTGTGTGACATTGAAGTAACACTAGAGTTAAAGTATTCGCTGCTATGAAAGAATGATGACATTTCATCAGTAAATTACTCAGTGATCCATGTTTACGATTTAAAACTAAATTCTGTGTTTCTGTTCTTTATCTATTAAAAAAATGTATTTCCTACAGCCAAAAATGAACTCATATCCATTGCACAAGATGTTTACAAACAGATGGATAAAGAATACAAGCTGTCCTTCACAAGTGTTGGTAATGAAGCGATTCTGTTTCAAATGCTTTAGCTTTTTAACTATAAGAATATGGTAACTTGATTTCAAAGTGCAAGAAGATTAGGATATACCAAGCTGACGATCACACCATGAGGCAAAAGCATAGGAAGTACCTTTGACCTTAAATCAGTGAGCAATTGAGAGTAGGAAATCAAACAGTATGAATTCAATTCCCTTGGTGTCCCCTAACTGATCAGATCTAGTCGTTCAATAATATTACCTTCTTATTTGCCCTATGTCACTTCCATAAATGCACAGCCTCTGCTAGTAGTGTGACACAGACTGGAAGATTGGAATCAATTTAAAAAAAGTGAAGGTGTCTACTATATTTTAATTTAGACAGATTATCATAAATTGGGCAAGTAAAACAGCTATTTGGTGTGGGAAATCCATTGAGCACTTGATTAAAGAAGCTCAAAGGTGGTTGCTTCTATGAAATGTCACAGGAACTCAAGCAAAACCAATGGAACGGGATAAACTTGCTCGTTTCACTCATATTCAAAATTATACTGACAATTGTCATATTTTTTGACTCTCGTTCCTTCCGAAATAAATGAGTCCAGTGCCTTTTCATGAAAAAAATGTGTCTCTTTGGTTGATGTCATTAAAAAAATTCAAATTTGCCCTCAAAATATTGTCAATTCACTTTACAGTATTCTGTGAAGTGCTTTGAGACGTCTCGAAGATGTCATAAGGCATCAAATGCAAGGATTATTATTATTTTTCTAAACTAGCTCACCCTTCCTTTTTGAGACTTCCCATACCGTGCACTGCTTTCTGTCAGAGACTATC